TTGATTTTTGCAAAGGTGCAAAAACAATTCATTGGAGAAAAGATAGTCTTTTCAACAAATGTTCTTGGAGCAACTAGACATTCATATGCAAAAAATGAACCTCAATTTACACCTCACACCATATACCAAAAAATAAAATGGATCATAGATCTAAAGGTAAGTGTAAAACTATAAAACTTTTAGAAGACAATATAGGAGGAAATCTTCATGATCTTAGGTTAGGCAAAGATTTCTTAGACATAACCCCAAAAGCACAATCCATAAGACAAAAATTTAATAAATTAGACTTTATAAAAATTAAAATTTTTGCTCTGTGAAAGACACTGTTAAGAGAATGAAGAGACAAACTTCATAGTCTAGACTATGAGAAAATATTTGTAAGTCATATATCTAACTAAGAAATTGTATCCAAAATATATAATGAACTCTCAAAAATCAATGTAAGGAAACAAAAAACTCAATAATCAATCAGCAAAAATATTTGAACAGATACATCACCAAAGAAGAAAAATAGGTGCAAATAAGCATAAGAAATAATGTGCGCAAATCATTAGCTATTAGGGAAATGCTGATTAAAACCAGATTGAAATAACAATTAAAATTAATAAAATTTTGAAAAGTTGACAATATCCCCTTATGGAGGGGATGCAGAGCAACAGGAACTCGCACACATTGCTGTTGAGAATTCAAAATGGTACAGCTGTCTGGAAAACAGTTTGGCTATTTCTTTAAATATACACTTATGACCCAGAAATTCCATTCCTGGGTATTTACCCTAGAGAAATTAAACTTTTCTTCACTAAAACTATACACAAAAATTAATGGCAGTTCTATTCATAATTACCACATCAACTCAAATGTCTTTCAACGGGTGAGTGGATAAACAGACCAAGGTACATTCACACCATGGAATACAATAGAAAAAAGAAAAAGAAATAGCTATTGATATATACAACAACATGGATGAATCTCAAAGGCACCGTGCTAAGTGAACGAAGTCAGTCTCAAAATTTACGTATTGTATGGTTCCATTTATGTAACATTCTGGAAAAGGCAAAACTATAGGGGTGGAGAATGGATTAGTGGTTGCTAGGGTTTGGGCTAGGGGGAGGGTGTGACTAAAAAGGGGCAACACGAGGGAGCTTTGGGGCTGATGGAACTGCTCTGTATCCTGATTGTGGTAGTGGTTGCCCAAACCTATACATGTGTTAAAATTCATAGAGCTGTTCACAAAAAACGTTGGAAAACATGATCTAAGTAAATTTTAAAAAGTAAGAAACAACAAAAAAACCCCAATTACTCTTAACACCTTTAGTCATGGTAGTTAAACCTAGCATATTTGTCTAAGTAATATCTGTGAAACATTCAAGTTGTATCACAAATATACATGCACATTGTATAGAATTCACAACCCCTTGAAAGAATAATATATACAATTTATCCATTCATAGTAACTGAAGCATAGTTTCATTATTTTAAACAAGATCTTATAGTTTTGTGTGTGAGTGTTTGAGGAAGATTGGCCCTGAGCTAACATCTGTTGCCAATCTTCCTCTTTTTGCCTGAGGAAGACTGTGACTGAGCTAACATCTGTCCCAATCTTCCTCTATTTTGTATGTGGGACACCACCTCAGCGTGGCTTGATGAACAGTGTGTAGGTCCACACCTGGAATCTGAACCCGTGAACCCCAGGCCGCTGAAGTGGAGTGCGTGAACTTAACCAGTATGCCACTGGGCCAGCCCCAACTTATAGATCTTTTAATTTTACTTTTATAAGATCCTGTCTGTTATACATAGAATTTATTTGATCCTTACTACATGCAGTAACTCAGCCCCTAGTTATAATATTGTTTTTATGAGCACATACCAACATCATCTGCTTCATATATATTCACTTTATGATGGGTACTGGGAATATTTTGTGAACAAAGGGCAGGGACTGCCCACGAGACAGGAAGTGCATGTGTCATTCTACTCTGGGAGTACACTTAGCTGTAAATTTATTGGGTAATAAAGAAACCTGTCCTTGAGATAAGTTTTCATGTCAATAATCCTGTAAGGATTGGCCATGATTTCTCATCCATTATGGGAAGCATAGTATAGTAGGGGAAATTGCGTACATGGAAATTAGGTTCTGGTCCTACCACCATTTTTTAGGACCAATTATTTGACTTCTCTGGGCTTCATTTGTCTTATCATTAAAACATAACTATTTTCACTTTGAAGTTCTTCAGTGTTCTTTGATGATGTATCTACATGTGTCTAAACAGTTATGTCCTATTACTTGTGTGTTTCTTTGTTTTTAACCTTATTGTTGACACTATTTAGCTGTCTCAGATCTTCCAGATTTTCCCAGAAAGATTGGCTAAGTTTATAAAAAATAGTTTGTTTTGATCAATGCTGTTCTTTATTCATTCATTTATTGATTACTGAGGAGCACTGTGCTAGGTACTGGAGAATTAGAGATGAAATTATTTTGTCCTCAGAGTTATGGTCTCTTGAAAGAGAAAAATAATTATAATAGAGAATGATAAGTGTTATAATACATGTATGTTCTGGAGGCAAGTGGATACAGCTAGGGGACAGAAAATGACTACTGGATGAGACTATGAAGCCAGGTTTTGAAGTGTGAGTAGACACAGAGCAGCAAAGATGGAAAGATGCTGAGATGAAAGATTGCAGTTTCATATAGCAGACTGAAGTGAGTGTATGAGGAGTGCATGGGAGAAGTGTCAGGGCCAGACAGTGAACAGCATTGTGTGTCATACCACATGGTGGATTTTATCCTGAAGGAATGAGGAGCCTGATAAAGGAGTCTAACAAGGAACAGGGACATGATCAGACGTGCACTGGAAAAAGTAGGTTGTATGTCTGTGGGGTAGGGATATAAATAGGAATGTTGATCCTGGAGACCAGTTTGAAAACCATCACACTAATCTAGGAAGGAATGATGCGTGACAGTGGGAAGTTAAGAAGAGAATTCAGATTCAAAGAATATTAAAGAGGTTGAATTGCATGGACTTGGAGAAGAGTTGGAGGTGGTGGGTACATATTTACAGGACAATTGACCACGTAATATGATGCTGCCATTTAAAGTAATTAGAAGCCACACTTCTGCATGTAAGTAGCTGGCGAATGTTGCCCTCAGGACACACAAAACCCCTGAGAAGGCAGCTTCTAGGTATTGATTTTATTATTTTAGAGAGGGAGACAAAGAAGTGTCAAGAAGGTACAGAATTTTGTGAATTCCACACGTCATGTTTGAGGAAGAGTAATCTAATAGTATCTTGGTTTGGAGATGAGGAGATTGGAGGCAGAAAGACCAGTTAGTGAACCATTTTAAGACTAGAAGTAGTAAGAAGACGAGAAAAAGTAGTGGCTCTGCTTTAAACTGAGGACTACGCCAGTGGGAGGACATTAATCTGTAGGATGGGAAAGCTACTGATATCTTTGGGTGGAGCGACATCTCTACTCATGTCTGCGAAGTTGACTCCAAGATCATAAATGATGTAAGTCACCTTGGTGCTATAGAAATACAAATGCTTACATATGTTTTTTTTTGGTCTATCTGACTAGAAATATCTATCCAGTCTAGGTAACCAAGTTACAGCTCAAGAAAGTAAAATTCTCTTTCATAGAAATATCTGTCTACATAATCCATGGCAGATGAAATGGAGAAATCCTTTTTCTGTGGAGCTCCCTTTTTCTGCTCTAACACTGCCAATATTACCTTCCTGTATGAAACTGAAATTGCTGATTTACAGTTTTTCCAGACAGGTTGTAGTTTGGAATTAAATTTGGGAGATACTCAGCTCTGATCAATAGCACAGTTAGAAACTAGATCTCAGGATGGGCTAAGACTGAGGATGTGTGTACTCTTTTATAATAGGCAGATATTTAATGAATTTTTCTTTTTGCTTATAAACAACAGAAATTTATTTCTCACACTTCTGGAGGCTAGAAGTCCAAGATCAAGGCACTGGCAGATTCTGTGTCTAGCGAGGGCCTGCTTCCTGGTTCATAGATGCTTGTCTTTTCACTATAACCTCACGTGGCGGAAAGAGTGGAAAGACTTTTCATACTTTACTCCCACGGTTGGGGAGAGGCCCCTCCTTTGGCCTCCTGGGAAGGCTGAATCCTGCTCTGGCTGTGTGATGGAGATCTGAGTGGACACTGTCAACTAGTGGTGTGACCTCGGGCAAGTCACCTGTCCTCTCTAAGCCTTAGTTTCCTTCTCTATAAAATGGTAGCTATCTCATTAGAGCAATGGGAAGATAAAATCAGTTAGTTCATGTTAAGCACTTAACTCCTGTTAAATAATGTTTATTCATCTATGTATTTGATTAATATTAAATACAAGAGTGTGCTATTCCCACCTGTTTGTAATAGTCAGTTTTGGTACATCTAACTTCAATTCCAATGACCAGGTGATTATACTTAAAAACAAAGTATAAATACAATCTTCTTTGACTAATTATTCTTCCCTAATTAAGGACATTATCCCAAGTATAGTCTTTATTTTGCCATAGGGTAAGTGGAGGGAGATTGGGAAGTGGGAATACAGAGAATACAAAAAAAATTCTGTTGTATTAATCAGACTGTGCATTTGAGAATAAACTTTCTTACAGGGGGATGTTCTTTTTTTGTTCCTATTTATTTATTTATTTTCTTTTTTTTTTAAATTGCAGTAGCATTGGTTTATAACATTATATAAATTTAAGGTGTGCATAGTTATATATTTCAATTTCTGTGTAGATTACATCACGTTCACCACCTAAAGATTAATTGCCGTCCATCACTACACACGTGTGCCTAATCACCCCTTTTGCCCTCCTACCTCCCCACTTCCCCTCTGGTAACCACCAATCCAATCTCTGTTTCTATGGTTTGTTTGTCATTGTTTTTGTCTTCTACGTATGAGTGAGATCATATGGTATTTGACTTCTCCCTCTGACTTATTTCACTTAGCATAATACCATGGGGATGTTCTTATTGTTCAGGTATATTAAAGAAACAAACATCAAAAATGATCCAAATGAACTCAACAATCTTATCAAGAAAAATTCTGATGTGGTAACATGGACCCCGCGACCTGGAGCTACTCTTGACCTGGGTAGGATGCTAAAGGACCCAACAGACAGGTTTGTATTCAATATTTGTAGAGAATAAAAATGGCTTGTGAATTTTCTCAATTTTATGACAAAATAAAGGGCACACCCATGGCCTCTTGACAGGTCCCTATTTGTAGGAATGTATGTTTTTGTTGATTAGCATACTGAGCTTGTTATGCAATAAGATCCACACATCATTTCTTAAAATGGAAATCTTACTATTTGAATAAAATATACTAAGTATCTTTCAAATCTAGAGGGGAAAAACCTGAGTTTTCCCCTAAATTTCTCATCCTATATAATAATTATGCAAATATTTTCCTCATCTCAGATCCTTGAGGATAAAAGGTGAGGAAGTTTTTTCTGTTAATGGTCATTATAATGTACAGCTCAAAGAAAGTTGTCTTACGTAAGTAAAAAGCAATAAGCTTGAGAGTTAGTTTTCATATCAGTGTAAACATTACCCACCTGCCTGTTAGACATTTGAACAAGTCACAATGCACTGGGAGGATAATTCAAGAAAAGTTCTGCTGTGGCCTTAATTTGGCTTCTCACAATTGTTCATCTAGATTCCTGCAGGGGCCCCTGACTTCACTCTGTGCCTTCTCCTCCTCCACTCCCCTTTGATCCATCCTCCATGCCAGCCTTTTTCCATCTGGTGTTTATAATCCATTGGTGGGTCATAAAATCAATGGCACTGATCATGACCAGTGTTTTTGAAAAATGAAATAGAATAGAATAGACCTGAGTACATTGCATATAACAAGTGTGTGTTATTTCAGGAAACTTTTGTTTCACAGGTACCCTTGGGACGTTGACCCCCAGAGTCTTGATGTAAAATGTAATTTGTACTGAGATCATAGGCAAATAGTTTGATAGCCCCTCCTCTACATGGCTGCCAGACTATCCTTTTTAAAATGCAAAACTGTTTCTGTTCCTTCCTTGTTTAAAATTCTTTAGGGTATCCCCAGTACCCCCAGGATAAAAGTGGTTTTTATTCTCCAGATCAAGGATGAGAAAGATTTTTAATTATTTCAGGTGTTAGCAGGGCATTCAAGAGCGTTTATCATTTGGCATTAGCTTAACTCTTCCATCATCTCTCTCCAGTACTCCAGATGTACCCTATGGCAGTCATTCTCAAACTTCAGCGAACAGCAGAATAACCCAAGGAGCTTATATAAATGCCGATCCCTTGGCTTCACCCCTGGAAATTCTGATTCAGTAGATCTGAGTTAGAGCCCAGGGATCTGCATTTGTATCATTGTGTCACACCAAAGCATTTGGGGTAACAAGAGAGTCAATTGTGTTGGATTCTCAGTAGTAAGTCAAAGTCTAAGGGAGACTAAGTGCTTAACTCTGCCTCATGAGGGGAGGAGGACACAGGAGAGAACAGGAAATGTGGTCAAGGAAAGCTCAATCTGAAATCTGCGGCATTTGAACAAGGTCTTGGAGGTGAGGAGGAGGCTACAAGTAGAGTATTTGAGAGTGAGAGCGAGCGAGAGAGAAAGATTGAGAGTCCAGTCGGAGAGAATGGCATGTGCTGGAGAAGGCAGATGTAAATAGTATCATTAGTTTGTTGAATGCAAATACTTCGAATAAGTGGATGTATACCATTCATTCAGAAGTAGTTTATTGAGCTCCTTCTGTATACCAGACATCATACTAGGTACAGGGATAGAGCTGCGACAAGGTCCTTCCCTCATGAAGTTATCCATCTACCTGGGTATGGGGTTGGTAAGTAAAGGCGAAGGAAAAGGACAAGACGGGAATGCCATGTTGGGGCCAGGGTTGGAAAGGCCTTGTGAGACAGTCCAAGGAACCTGCCTGTGAGTAAGGAGAGCCTGAGAAAGTTATAAAGCAAAGAAGGAACATTACTTTGTGGTGTTTTAGAAAAACCATTTCAGTTTGCAAGGAGAACATACTGGGGAAGAGGAGACAGGTAGGACAACTCTACAGGTAGAGTCAGGAAGGTGAGTGGGAGGCTGTGGCTTTATCCCGGAAGAGATTAGGGAGGCTTTAAACTGAAACAGGAGAAAAGAACTGGAAAAGCAGATTTGAGATATTTTTAGAAGTTAGAAGCTTTAGGATTTGGTAAGTAATTTATTACAGAAACCAGTGCATCAGTAGCTTTGCCTCAGCAATGGATTGAAAGTGTTGAGAAGTGGGACATAGAGACCTACCAGTACTTGCCAAATCTTTACTAGACAGGCAGCTATTTCCCTCCTTATATTTCTCTTATCCAAATCACACCCTATTCCATTCTCAGGGTTCAAGATTCCATGTTTCCTGCAATGATCCCTCTTCACACTGGATGGATAGAGCTCTAGGAATGTCAGAGAACTTCAAATTGCTGACTGGGTTTCAAGATAAAATTTCCCATCAGTCTGTCAGCTGTGGTTTGATCAGTACACTAAGAAGACCATATATTAGAGACAGAAAATTCTGGATATATCTCAAAGATAGGCTAAAGTCATTCATATATGTTCAGCAAATATTTCTTGAGCCCTCTCTATGTGCCAACCATGGTCGCTACTTTCATCAAACTTGAATTCTCATGGAGGGGGCTGTGGGACAGGAGTGAGCAGAAATCTGCAAAATCAGTATGACCACAGTATAGTTAACATTTCCATCATTTGGTTATTGGAACCAAAAGTGTCCAGATCAATGATTTTCCAACATTTTTTTTCCCAGACGTGGACTTTTATCTTCAAATGTGTTCTGACTTGGAAAGCCATCACACTAAACAATTAATAGGAGCTGTTCTGGTTTAGGGTGGGCGGGGGCCACCCTCACCTGTCCCCTGAGGTGCTTCTGTGAGACCCTGGGAATCATCTGGGCAGTCTTAAAGCTACTGTCTGATTGACTGTTGACATTTTGGTGCTGACTTTTGTCTTCCATATTTATTGCTTTCTTCTTTCATCATTCTCTCACCTTCATGTCTTTAAGCAAGGGCATCATAGAGCCTCCAGAAGGGACCAAAATTTACAAAGATTCCTGGGACTTTGGACCGTATTTGAAGATCTTGAATGCTTCTATAGAAGATGAAATATTTCGTCACTCATCCTGGATAAAAGAGTACTACACTTGGGCTGGATTTAAGGATTATAACCTGGTGGTCAGGGTATGCTGTTATTTGTCTTTGCTTTCTTAAATTATGGAACTATATGAAAACCCCTTAGTATTCTAGTTTATTTCTCCATAAGCACTCATTAAGCCTTGAACTGCCTTATTTTTAGAGAGCAGATTTGACAATGTGATAAACAATCCCTTGTTGAAATTTACGGAATGTTCTCAAGTCCAGCTCAGTTTCTCTTTGGAGTATTTTTTCCCCTCCTATCACCACGTGTTTGTTGTTGTTTGTTTCTGCGAGTGTTTTGTTTTGTTTAGCATGGCAGAAATAGCTATTTAAACTGCAGAACTAGAAGGTAGGATCCACCCAAGAGGTGGGAACCTGGAGCAGGGTGACATAGAAGCATGTAAGTCTTATCTGCAGCTGTGGTAAGGACTGAGCTGCACAAACCATGACGTTTAGCCATGAGGTTAAGTTCTAGATCTAGGCTGAAGATATCGAACTTAAATTAGCCCCAACACATACACACAGAGCTCACCAGCCAAGTAGTTCAGGCTATAACCCGGTCACACAAGCCGAGGACATATGCAAAAGCAAATTAAATACTAACAGGCAGGAAGGAGTGTGAGAGTAAGAAGCAGCCAGAAGTGGGCCGGGAGTGCCTGCAGAGTCAATGAATAACCAGCCTCTAATATGGATATTTTCTCTGGCTTCTATTTCATGCCTGAGGTTGTTCCTGGGAAGCAAAGTTTAGGGATGGCATCAGGAAATGGACAACATTCACACTCAGCCCAGGTTTATCTTTCAACCCCTGAACGTTAATACCAGGCAACACTTGCCATTCTCAAAAATAGTGATTCCTAAAAACTTAGGAGTTTTTAGGGGATCAATGCCAGTTGTGACAAAGTTTTTACTGGCCAATAGTGAAATAAGTATGAGCATGTCTATGAGTGTGGTTACAAAGATGTCAACTCTCTTTTCTTGGAATGAATTGTCATTATCCCAAGATTAGGTCATTTCTATTTTTTTAGGTGTTAAAGCATTCTTTCTTTATTGAAATAAAAGGATAGCAAATGTAAGGATTTTTTTTTAGAGTACTCACTTGGCAAAAGAAAATGTTGATATCTCTCTTAGATCCCAAATATTTTTTAGGAAATTGTCTTTGAAATCCAAAGATATGGGAAAATTGGTCTAAAAGATATTTTCAGTTGGACCATTAGTATGAAAAAGAATTTTTTTAACTTTTTATTGAGATTGTGATAGTTTACAATCTTGTGAAATTTCAGTTGTACATTACTGTTTATCAGTCATGTTGTAGGTACACCACTTCACACTTTGTGCCCACCCCCAGCCCCCCTTTTCCCTTTGTCTACATGTTTATGAAAAAGAATTTTTAATGAAACTATTTACGTTTGACTGCTATACGATGATGAGAGACATTCCACATTTTATTCATTCCTTAGCCTGCAAACTTATGGTGGTATTTGATATCTCGTTACTAATAGTACTTAAGATGGTAATAACCTTCCTGTAAATTTGATTCAGCTCGTGACGTGAAGCAGTTTTGCTGTGGAAGACTAGGACTTGAATGCTATCAGTTCAGGAGAGAGGAGAGAGAAAATTGAAGAAAGTGGGAGAAAGAGAAAAGAGGAGAGGGACTCTTTATATTAATTCCAATTCATTGCTATCATTTAAGGGCATTTGGGTCTTACCCATCCAATAATTTTTTAAAGACCTTGACCACCAGATTCATGTGCTTCTTCCCTTTACCATGTTGTCATTTGCACAGATGATTGAGACAGATGAAGACTTCAGCCCTTTTCCTGGAGGATATGACTACTTGGTTGACTTTCTAGATTTATCCTTTCCAAAAGAAAGACCAAGCCGGGAGCATCCCTATGAGGAAGTAAGCAGCAACACTGGTCAAAGTGCTCCTTCCTTCCTTCCTTTCTTTCTTTTTAAATAAACTTTGTATTTTAGAATAACTTCAGATTTACAGAAAAGTTGCAGGGAGAGTACAGAGTATTGTGAACATCTTACTTTACCATGGTACATTTGGCACAACTAATGAGGCAATATTGAAATAATAATATTAACGGAAGTCCATCCTTGCTTCTTTCTGAGTCATTGACAAAGATTGGATTCTCCACCCGCTTACTTCCAGACAGCTGCCGCCTACGCTGCTGTTGGACCTGCAAGTGTTGATCTCTGCTTCCCTTTCTCTTCTCTCCAATGGTGTCTCCTTCCCCAAGGGAACCAAGTGGGTGGCTCTGTAAAAGGAGTTAAGTCAACATAAACCAACACATATTTTGTTGAGCTCCGATTTTGAGCAAACCCCTCACCTGCAGCAGCATGAGGTAAAGGTGAGCCGTGGCCTTGGAGGCAGCCTCCAGATTGGGACTGGTGTCCCACCCCTGCTGATTAGGAGGCTTTGAGCAAGTTATTTCACCTGTCTGAACTTTGTGTTTTTTTCCTTTCATAGGGTTTATCCCTGCCTTACCAGTGTTTTTGTGTGATAGTCAAATGACATGATATATGTGAGCATGCATTGTAATTTTACATTCTACATGAATGTAATAATCATTAAATAAATTAGGCTGTATATTCTGCCCTTGAGCTTATTATGTGTGCCATATAAATGTTTGATGCCTTAATTGTAGAGGTTTCAATGTACCTTCATATACTAGATGTGTTCTTAACGCACATTTTAATAATTTGACTTGTATTTTTATGTTTAGTAAAGTACTTGCTATTGAAGAGAATCTTATGCTGAAACTTCAGTGAAACCAATAATCCACTACCTGCTTTATGGGTCTTAAAAAACTAGGTTTTCCCAGATAGGATTTTCACCCTATGTGAAGCACCTGTTTTAAACAAAATGAATCTCTTACATTATTGCTTTATTTACCAAACATGTATATAGCTTGCTGTGTGCCAAGCACAGCTTTAAGCACTTTATAAATAGTAACTCATTTAATCTGACAACAATCTTATTAACAGATATTACCATATTCTCCATTTAGAGATGAGGAAAATGCCATAATGAGAGGTTAAATAATTTGCCCAAGGTGGTACAGCTAGAAAATGGTGGTGCAAAGGTTTGACCATGAGCTGTCTATGCATTTGAAAGTCTATCCATTTAGCCACTGTGTTGCTTCTCAAATCTGGACTTACGAAACCTGTAAATTAACATATCTGTTAGCCTTAAAGGAGATTTATCTTTGGAATTTTTAAAATAAGTTCATTTAAAATATTTAACTGAAAAAAGTCGCTTTTTTTTTTTTTAACAATCAAGCATTTTTTAGACTTGCCAGGGCCAAACTGCAAAGGACTTTTCTTTTTCTTATTATTGAATAAATTTGATGTGTGACATTATGTAAGTTTAAGGTATACAATGAGGTACTTTGATAAATTTACATATTGTAATATGACTGCTGATGTAGCAATATTTATGACATTACATGATTATAGTACAATATTATTGTCTCTATTCATTATACTGTGCCTTAGAGTTCTATGGCTTATTTATTACTCATGGCAAGTTTGCACCCTCAAACACTATCTCTCTTATTCCCTGGTAACCCCAGCATTTTACCCTCTATTTTTTACAAGTTTGACATTTTTAGATCCACATATAAGAGATATCATACAGTACTTGTCTTTCTCTGTCTGACTTATCTTCCTTAGCATAATGTGTCAACATCCATCTACATTGTCACAAGTGGGAGGATATCTTCCTTTCTCATGGCTGAATAATATTCCACTGTGTATAGGTACCACATATTTTTTATGCATTAATCTGTTAATGGGTATTTGGTTTGTTTCCACATTTTGGCTACTGTGAACAATGCTGCAATAAACATGGGAGTGCATGTATCTTGTCAAAATCCTGTTTTCATTTCCTTTGGGTATATACCCAGAAGTGGAATTCCCGGATCATACTGTAGATCTATTTTTAGCTTTTTGAGGAAGCTCCATATTGTTTTTTATAGTGGCTGGACTAATTTACATTCTCACCAACAATGTATGAGTTCTCTTTTCATCACATCCCCTCCAGCACCTGTTATCTCTTGTCTTCTTGATGATAGCCATTCTAACAGGTGTGAGGTGATATCTTGTCGTGGTTTTGATTTGCATTTCCCTGATGATTAGTGATGTTGAGCATCTTTTCATGTGTCTGTTGGCCATTTTGATGTCCTCTTTGGAGAAAGGTCTAGTTTTTCTGCCCATTTAAAAAATTGGATTATTTGTCCTTTTGTTATTGAGTTGACTGAGTTTTTCGTATATTTTGGATGTTAACCCCTCATCCAATATATGGTTTACAAAAATTTTCTCCCATTCTGTAGGTTGTCTTTTCATTTTGTTAATTGTTTCTTTTGCTGTGCAGAAGCTTTTGAGTTTGATGTAGTCCCATTTGTTGATATTTTTTCTTTTGTTGTTTGTGCTTTTGGTGTCATGAACAAAAAATTATTGCCAAGACCAATATAGATGAGTTTCTTCCCTACATTTTTTTCTAGGAGTTTTATGGAATCAGGTCTTATGTTTGAGGCTTTCATCCATTTTAAGTTAATTTTTGAGAGTGATGTGAGCTAGGGGTCCAATTTCATGGTTCTGCATGTGTTTCTTCAATTTACCCAGCACCATTTGTTGAAGAGACTATCCTTTCCCTATTGGGTATTCTTGGCTCCCTTGTCAAATACTAGTTGACTGTATATGCTGAGGTTTACTTCTGGGCTCTTTATTCTGTTCCATTGGTCAATGTGTCTACTCTTGTGCTAGTACCATTCAGTTTTTATTACTATGACTTTGTAGTTTAGTTTGAAATCTGGAAGCATGATACCTCCAGCTTTGTTCTTTTTTTTCTCAGGATTACTTTGGATTTTTAGGGTCTTTTGTGCTTCCACACAAATTTTAGGATTATTTCTTCTATTTCTGTGAAGAGTGCCTTTCATATTTTGATGGGGATTTCATTGAATCTGTAGATGGCTTTGGGTAGTATGGCCATTTTAACATATTAATTCTTCTGATCCATGAACGTGGGATGTCTTTCCATTTCTTTGTGTCTTCTTCGATTTCTTTCAGCAAAGTTTTGTAGTTTTCATTGTACAGATCTTTCACTTTCTTTGTTAAATATATTCCTAAGTATTTTATAAATAATAAAATGCTATTGTGAATTGGATAGTTTTCTTTAGTTCTTTTTCAGATGCTTCATCATTAGTGTTAAGTAATGCAATTGATTTCTATATGTTGATTTTGTATCCTACCACTTTACTGAAATCATTGATTAAATCCAACAGGCTTTTGAAAATAAGGTCACTTTTTCACAGCTTTTGATAACGCATCTGCTGGATAAAGCAAGCAACAACTCTGTTGCAGATTTAAATGCACCATGGGGTAAATCATCATGCCTGCCATGTACACAGTGGACTGTAATATGGCTCTCAATTCCTTTATCTCCCTGCATTTTAGTGAGATTTCTAAGTGCTGAGCTTTGCTTAAGGAGATTATGTCTATACTTGGAAGAACTCCTTTTCTTTCTGGAGCCCTCTCATATTGTCTCTCTCTCTCTTTTTTGGGGGGGGGGGCGCATTAATTGCCTTTCAAACCCATAAGTATATTTTCTATCACTCCAACTGTCCGTCTTTCCTAGATGCATGGTTTCTGTATCTCTCTATCCTCCTGCTGCAATCTGGATGGGCTCCTCTCTAGTTCTACTGTAAATCTGTCACCCTGTGACATCCCTTAGTGGCTTCCAGACCCCACCCATGTCTTCACCTTTTTTGCTTTACTCCTTTATGGGACTTTCTGCTTAAGTAACTGCTGAGGAAAGGGTGCATGGGAGCTAAACTTTGAGTACCTTCCTGCCTCACTTCATGTGATAATCTGGGTGAGCACATGATGCTGGGTGGCAAATCATTTTCCATGGACACCTGAAGCCATTGCTTCTTTGGCTTCTAGTTGCATGCAGTGTTGCTTACCCCAGGTTGATCTTTCTTCCTTTGTAGGTGACTTTTAAGAATCAAGGGATGAATCTATATTTACCAAAAAAAACAAAAAAAACCCCAAAAAAGACTTTTTCAAGATGATTTAGGGCTCTCTGTATACGTAGGATTTGTTACCCAGCAGGCTTTACTTGAAGGCAGTGGTTACATGCTTAAATGCTCACAGACTGGCCCAAGGCAGATCTTGTAAACAGGTGGAGCTGAGTGGGGACTGTGTCAAGTGGAAAGCAAATGCCAGATGAGAAGGGGGCAGCCCCTACTGAGTTCCAGCTGATCTTCTGAATTTTCCAGAGAACTTGGAAATCTGGATCTTCATGTGAAATGCTCGAATCTATAAACGTGGAAAGCAAATTCAATTTTTTAAAAGGGGCTGTAAGCTATACAAAACAAGAGCTAGGCTGGGTTTGATCAGGCAGCCACTAGTTTGTTTAAGTTATGAAGGCGAAGAGCCAGGTATTAGGCTGGGGGACCCATAAATACCCAAATGTGGAGGTCCTTGCTCTGGGGCATCACAAGCATACTATGTGCCCTCATTCTCCCCTCAAAATCGATTCCATTTCTTCGGAGAATTGTCTGAATGTATTTGGCCTTGGAGCCATGCATTGGCATAGGGAAGGGGTCCATTGTTTCATGTACATAGTTTTGTGCTGCGTGTCCCTACTGTCATCCATGGTACCTACCTCTACTCCTTCCACATCTGAACGCCCCTCCACATACTCTCTGGGATTCTGCATCCTCTGCCAGGTTCTTCCGATGCCACTCATCTGCCTCCTTTCCAGATTCACATTAGTTAGTTGAAATCTCCTACCTGTCAACAACTCACTTCATTTCTTCTTTACTGTGGCAGTTTATAGCTATATAATTGCTTTGTCAACATTGCAGCTGGATCTGGCAGTGTTCAGAAGACAAGTTATGAATGTGATCTGTCCGTCAAATTACCCCTTGCTTTCTTCACTTCCTGACTATTCTGCATATTTGGGGGTCTCTCTTTCTCCAGCCATCACCTAAGTCTCCATTTCTCCCAGGGTTCTGTGCTCAACCCACTCTTCTTCTCAAGTCTCTTCCTGGGGGAACTCATCTGCCAGCACCACTTGTCTGCTAATGACTCCAAAAATCCACATGTCCTGCCTGGACTTTCCCCAGACCCCTCCAACACTGTCAAGCTTTGGATTCTTTATAGTCAATTGCCTACTAGATATCATCACTCAGATTTCCAAATTCTTGGTACCTCTTTTCCAACATGTTCAAAATTCAACTCATCATCCTCCTTCTCTAAGCTTTTTCTCCTTTTCTATCCTAATTGCTGGAAATATCAGCCCACTAGTGAGTCAAGCTAGAAACGGGAGTGATCTTTGATTCTTTCCTTTTCCCTCATCTCCAAATCTAATCAATCACCAAGAACTTCTTATTTTACACCCTAAATATTTCTCAAGTCTGTCCCCAGTTCTTCCATGTGCTGCTCTCCAGATTGAAAGGTCAGAAAGGCCATCTCCCCTCCACTGTGAGGAACTGGGTCCCGATACTGCCTCTTAGCTGGGCAGTCCTCAACCTGACCAAGCTGTGCAATCGTGTTTCTCAACTCTATTGGCAAAAGAACAGATCCTCTGACCTGTGTTTGTAATCTCAGTTCACAATGGATATTACCATTTTGTAGGAATGGTGCAGGAAAGAGAAATAAATCCAAAACGTCAATCTTCTAATTATTCTGTGCCATTTAATAGCCTGTCATTTATGACCGTCTGTCTCTGTTGGCATTAGCATGATATTCCCCAGGGGAAAAAAACTGTGATTCCAGATGCTGAAAAAGCTCCTGGTAAACTTTAACCCCTGTACTTATGAAGTGTTAGAACCATGTCTAGTCTTAGGATACGTTCCCTTCCTGCTACTTCATGCTCTTTTTATAAATTTTCTCATTTTTTTTTCTCGCAACATTCCTGTAATAGAGGGAACTGAGGCTTAGCAAGGTTAAGGTCACATGATTAGGAAGCTCTGGGCTGAGACGCAAAACCATCCCTGCTCGTCTTCTAATTCTGTGCTCCTTTGACTATTCGACAGCTTCCATGCCAGGAGTTGGGATTCATTGAAGGTAAGGGCCTTAACCGCCTAGTCAAGGGGTTCATGCTCTACGGCAGGCCTGACACATAGAGCACTGTCAACTTGCAGGCTCTGCTTTGCCTCTGAGTGTTCAAGGAAGAGACTAGAACACTCTACTTTCAGAATAATGGTGTAGCGCGCATTTGTTGAAAGCTTGCCACGTGCCAGGCTTGTTTTAAGTTTTTTATATACATTGACTCAGTTAATCCTCACAACAGTCCTTTGAGGAACGTTCTATTATCTTCATTTTATAGATAAGGAAAGGGAGGTGCAGATGGTTGCCTGTTTCACACAGCTAGAATCTGGATTTGAACCCAGCAATCCGACTCTGTGCACTCAGCCACTAAGCTTCCGCAGCTCCTGAGCTATTTCCTGTTTTTCTTCCCTCCATTTCTGCTGTGCTCAGGGTTCCTTCTTTCCCCCTCAGCCTGTGACATCTACTCCAGTAGACTGTTCTCCTTGACTCCCCAAGCCCCTGCCATCATAGGCATCTGCTTCTCCCAGGGACACGAGGGGATGGTCCTCTGTGCTGGCTGGGTCACACCTGCTAGTTCTTCCGTATCTGTTTCAGATTCGGAGCCGGGTTGATGTCATCAGACATGTGGTGAAGAATGGTCTACTCTGGGATGACCTGTATATAGGATTCCAGACCCGGCTTCAGCGGGATCCTGACATATACCATCATCTGTAAGTCTGAAAATGGCTGTTGTATGCCAGGCCACTGCAGAGGATGCTGTGGATACATAAGCAGAGTCACACTGACTATGCCCCCAAACTCTGACAGATGTGTGAGATTCCACCATTAGAGCTTTATTCCTTTGTTAACCGTTAAAAAGCAAATCAGGTTAGGAAAGTAACATTTTAAAGAGTCATCATTTATACATTCATACAAATGTGTTTCAATCCCTTCTGGAAGTGGTTTTTCGTATAGGAAAGGGAAGAACATTATAAGAGGGGAAGGGTATGTGTGCTAAGACGAGAATGAGGCGGGGGCGTTTATATGGCAAAGATGCGGTCATTGAAGACAATCATTTCCCATGTCACATTTTTGCCTGTGCCCAACTAGTTGGTTAAGGGGGATGGCCCACTGAGTTTCTACCTGCCTGCACTTCAAAACCATGTAATTTTCTCATTGCAAAACTGTATATCTTTAAGATTATATTTGGAATATTTGAGTTAAAGTGTCAGGCCCATTTGCCATTTTTATATTTGCAAACTTATCAGCAAGACGGAGAATACCTTCTTTATCATTACCACGGACCCTCTGAAAAATACAGGAATTTAATTTTAAATAAGAAAACCTACTCTCCAGCTTTTGCTTTGAGCTTACAAGCACAGGTGTGGTTTAACTTCTTTTTTACTTATTTCCTTTTGACTGTTTTCAAATTATAAAAAAAAAAAGTTAAAGAATGTAGATGTACATAAAATAAAATAAGCCTGCCCCACCCATCCCACAAAACCCTGTGTGTTTCCTGCCTCTCATTCTACCCCTCTCCAGGGTAGTTCTTGATAACAGCTCAGTGTGTATCATCCCAGGCTCTGGGCATATCAACATTTTTGAAATTTCTTTGATAAAACATCCCATATGGTTGGAGGGGGGAGGTTATTGCTGCTGTTGTTTTTTCAACATAATCCTAGTACATATGCTCTGTAACTTAACGTTTTTTACTCACCAATGTGTGGTATCCCTTGCCTTGGGACACACAGATCAACCTCAAATGTTTTTTTTTTTGGTTCTTTTTGTTTTTTTTTTTTTTGTTTTTTTAGGGAGATTGGCCCTGAGCTAACTACTGCCAGTCCTCCTCTTTTTGCTGAGGAAGACTGGCCCTGAGCTCACATCCGTGCCCATATTCCTCTACTTTCTATGTGAGACACCTGCCACAGCATGACATGCCAAGCGGTGTCATATCCGCACCCGGGATCCGAACTGGCGAACCCTGGGTGGCCGAGAAGCGGAACGTGCGCACTTAACCTCTGCGCCACCGGGCTGGCCCAACCTAAAACGTTTTAACAGCTGTAAAACATTTTAAGTTTTAGAATTCTAAGTTCATGTTCAACAGAGCATGTACCTGACTTCTTGTTCTGGAAAAAAAGGCATATAGCAAATTTGGGGGAGATTTGAGAGGTTACTTTTCTTAAGAAAATAATTCCATCTTGGAAACTTTTAGGATATTGACGCTAAAGACTATTTTGTTATATTGTTTTGATAACAAAGGTCCTAAATGTACGAGGATCCCATAATGAATCTCGGGAAGCAGTCACAGCCCAATTTATCTTTGTTGGTCTTAAGATGGGATTTATGAGTTTACTAAATATTTTTCTGGATATAAAAATAATGTGTATCTACTGTAGAAAATTTGAAAAAGTATTTTAAAATACAAAAAAGAGTTAAAACCACAAATAATCCCTCCACCCAGAGAAAGCAATTTCTATTTAGGCGTCTGGTTAATCTTTCTTTGTTTTCAAGGACATACACATGCACTTTTTATAAAAATAGGATAGTATTGTACATACTTTTGTGCCTGCGTGTTTATTGAACAATCTTTGATCTACCTGTAAGTTGTTTCTAACTTCTCATTATTTGAAGCAATGATTTAGCAAATAAACAGGTAGTTATGTGTTGCATACTTTCATAGTGATTTCTTTAGGATAAATTCCTAGGAGTGGAGCTACTGGGTCCAATGCACATGCAGTAAGTAGGCTTTTTTTTTTTTTTCTTTCCTTTGAGGAAGATCAGCCCTGAGCTAACTGCTGCCAATCCACCTCTTTTTGCTGAGGAAGACTGGCCCTGAGCTAACATCTGTGCCCATCTTCCTCTACTTTATATGTGGGACGCCTACCACAGCGTGGCGTGTCAAGCAGTGCCATGTCCGCACGCCGGATCCGAACTGGTGAACCCCAGGCCGCCAAAGCAGAATGTGTGCACTTAACCGCTGCACCACTGGGCCGGCCCCATGTGTAGGCTTTTGATGAACTCTGCCAAACACTTCTTCAGCAAGCCAGTTGCCTTCCCAGAAATAACGTAGGAGAGGACCCATTTCTCCACACCCTCCCCAATACCAGGTCCTAATGCTTTTGTGTAGAGAACATAAATCTGTATTTTCACATATGAGGTTTCCTTAAAGCAAGGCACATCACATTAAAATGAAAATAAGTCACAGATGTCATGTTTTAAGGAACTGCATTCAACACACTGAAAATGCTGAGGTACATGAACAGCTGAAATAGTACAGAAACAATGTCTCTTAGGGAAAGCTGAAGACCAGGTACTGAACAGATCCTGGCAAAGCAACAGGCATGGAAGTTTCTAAAACATATTTCTTTGCTTTTTCTCTTTCCAGGTTTTGGAACCATTTCCAAATAAAACTCCCCTTAACACCACCCAACTGGAAGACCTTCCTGGTGCACTGTGAATAGAGCGGACCTGAGATTCCCCAGGTGAGGCACCCTGTGGATCTGGGGGAGACCTTTATCATATATCCCATCACACTCTCTTTGGCATCTAAATTGAGCAGGCGCTGTACCTGTCAGAAAACCTGACTTTCAGAGGAATTGTGAGGAGCTAACATTACAAGAAGAACAGTCAAGTTTAAAAATAAGTAAATAAGATGAGTGGTGAGTGCACCCAGCCCAAAGTTCATAGAATCTTTGGTTTGGGTGAGATGAACATATAGCCAATTAATAAATAAGACAAAAATTATCCCAGGTGGTCAGTGAGTGTTCAGAGCTAAATTCTGAACACATTAAGAAAGGAAGCAACAAAAAATAAAGGGAGGAAAAACAAAAACAGAGCAAGATGGAAAACATCGCCTCTCCATGTCCAATAGACCCCTGTCTTTTTCAGGCTTATGGAGATCAGCTTGTCTGGCACAAATCAGATTTGACATTCCTTCCTCCTGCTTGCGATGTGATTTTATTAACTAAATTACAAAACCTGTTTCCATATCCTTATTATTGGAAAGATCATATCACATTACTACAAAGAGAGTCAATTTCTTGACTTATGCATTTATTTATATATTCATTTATTTATTCCACAAACAGCTGGCCCATCACACTGTACTGTAATAATCTATTGTCTCTTCCAGTCAGTAGACTCTGAATTTCTTAAAAGTAGACACTCTTGCCTGTATATCCTTAATGCTTAGCACAGTGCCCAGAGCACACGTGATTTTATTCATAATATGTGTTCAAGGAAGGAAGGAACAAGCGAATTCTCTCTCCCACTGTCAGTGTGACTTGCCACTTAAACTAGGCTTCAGTGTCCTTACCAGTAAAATTAAGAATCGAAATAGAACATTCTTTTCCGTTGTAAAGTTCTTTGTTTCATACTCCATTCTAGCACAAGGCATTGAGCTAGATTTTCTACGTTATGATTATAGGCTAGAAGGGATGCTAAGGAAATTCACATACAACTAGATTATAAGGCAAACTTAATAAGCACTATATTTGTTGTACAAACTAAGCTTTGGGAATACTGAGGAGAGAGAGATTACATCTGACTTTTTGAGATGACCAGGAGGAGTGTTATAGAAAAGGTAGCGTTTTGGTGGAGGATGTGGGAGGAGGTGGTATTAGGAGAGTGTCTTGAAGACTGAGTAAGGATTTTAATAAGCTGCAGTGGAGGTGAAAAGAATATTCCAGACAGAAAAAGTGGGTGAAGGTAAAAGGTAGAAAAATGCAAGGTGAGTTAGAGCATTGGCAAGTCCTCCTAGTGTGACAGAGAAGTAAGGGAAAGCAGGAAAGAGGTTTTAGTGACCCTGGGAGAATAAAGAGAGTCAAGAGGACTCAATGGAGATGCTGAGCAGGTCCAGTCATTGTAAAAAAGCAGAAGGCATGAAAGGTCAGGAGGCAACAGATCAGGAAAGCATTGAGTTCAAGGTCTTGGAGACGGAGCAGTTCTGAAAGAAGATGGGTCAAAGGTGCTTCTGTAAAACTGAATGAATGAAACGGAGCAGAAATAAAGGTAATGGGCATCAGGAGGTCAATGTGTGCATTTTGAAGTTGCCTTATCAAGAAGCAAATAAACTGTGGTGGTCAACACCTCAGACTTGGAATCTGACTTCTTGAGTTAAAATCTTGGTTTTGTCACCTACAATATGACCTTGGGCAAATTACTGAACCTCCTTGTGTCTCAGATTTTCACCTATAAAGTGAATACTATAATAGTATCTACCTCGCAGGGTTGTGTCACATGTGTAAGGCACTTCTAGAAGAGGGAGTGGCATAGGGACAGTAAAAAATAAATATTAACTATATCAACCTGAAAATCGACAGGAAAGTCATGTGACCTATAATCAGTCATTTGAATTCATTTTACAGTCAGAGAATCTGTTAAAAGTTGGGAGGAGTGTCATATTCCAGTTCACATTCCAGGTTTAGATTCTCAGTTAAAGCATCATAGACAATACAACTCGAACTAAAGAGTAAGAATACAATTTTGCCCCAATGCAATAAAAAATTAAAAAGTATTAAAATGAGACTCATCCTGTTATTCAGTAGTAATATGTTTAATTCACAGGGATGCCAAACAATGAAAAATTCAAGAATTTACTGATGCCGCATCTTGAACACAAGAATCTTATACCAAAGAGACTGTGCCTTATTGCCATCAGCAATGGATAACTACATGCTGCAGTTGTGAAATGTTCACACATCTTACATTTGTGCATCACTACATAGCCAGATAATTAATATTTTACTTATTCTGTCTACAATTTTCTCTAAAAGAATGAATGAACCCAAGAGGAACAAATTTCCTATGGAAAACAAAGCATAGCAGGAGATGTGAATCTAAGCATGGAAGAAATAGAACAAGAGAAGAAAAAGTTTCCCGTTACACGATAAGGAAAAAGGAAAGGAGTTGAGGAGTAGAAGTTGGGTTAGAAGAAGAGAAATAGATAAATGAGGGCCCATAAGAAGAAAATAGGAAGGAGAAAAAATTAAGATGGAATTTTAAAAAAGAGAATGTAGAAATAGACATTTTGCTCCTTAATAGATTGATTCTCCAAGTAGGGTCCATGAAGATAGGTTAGTAAAAACGGTTCATGAGCTGTTTTCAGTTTTTCAAAAAGATTTGTTGAAATCATATATTTACCAAAACAAGACTACAGAGGCTGCCCCGAAAGGGAAAATTTCACTCGGACTGAAATTATTTTGATTCAGTGACAAAATTTGTTATTTAATGCACCTTATAAATTCTAACAAATAGATCTTTGATTAATAAAAAATATGAGCACTATTAATAAAACAAGTTTTGTAGACAAAAATCTTTCAAAATCAATAGAAAGATCAATAATCAAGATCCATATCTTGAAAAAATTTAAAAATCCTCTTCTGAACATTAAAAAACATTGTTTCAATGGGTAAAATAGGCAACTAATGTATCTGTTTCTGCTAACCTCTGTAGTTTTTGATGATCTTCTCATGATTAAGACACCTACACACAAATTTATCCCTAGAAAAACATGATTGTTAACTAGGTTTCTGTTTTACTACACACCCCTCTCACTGAGATGAACATCAAAATTGGTTTTCTGATTATGTGTACTACCTCTTTAATTCTAAAGATACAAGAATCCAATCAATGCTGGAATTTATCCCCTTAATTCTCTAAATTCTCACTTCATAATAGAAATTCTGACTGTTTACTTCTCATTAAGATCTACATCAATGATGTTTGATTATTCTGGTTCATCTCACACATTATAATAACAAAAGTGCTTGAAATTCAGGAACTATATTTTTTGATTTATAGTATATAGTAAGTTATTTAATTATCACTGAAAAATAGATGTAATATATATCAATATGATGTATGTTAAAATGTATGTAATAAAAGGTTATTTTAAAATATGGATTTGTTTTTCTCACCACTGTGCCTATCTTTGTTCTCATGTTATCTTTCCGGTTATCTCCTTCTAATGTCCTAACTCCAACAATTCTTTGATATCACCAAGACCTCCAATCCATTGACCCTACATGTCCTCACTTCCCTTCTTAATCCTCTTAGATGGTTCTTTTCTACCTGTATATACCCCCATATTACTGGGCCTCTTTCCCTATCTTGTATCTCATATCTCATTTCCATTACTTAAACTAAAAACTGTGAAATCATCCTTTATGTCTTGTTCTAACATCCACTGTCTCAGTACATCCTGTCACCTCCACCTTCAAAATATACCCAGAGTCTAACCACTTTCCACCACCTCCACTGCCATCAAGACAGGAGAGGAAGGAACCCATACAGGTAATCTGGGCATGACGGGCTGATTTTCCTCAGCCATGGATAGGAATCTGCCAACTCAAAAAAAAGGCCAAAAACCTGAATGCCTTGAAATTTCCTCAAAGCCTTTCAAGTAGGTGCTGAGGAAGCCATTCAAGCGAAGGTGCCTTGCAGGCTGCACAATCCTACGGTGAAGCCACTTCAGAGGGTGCCAGGGAAGCTGCTGGCTGCTGGGCACTGATGCTCATCTTGCACTTCAGAAGCCCAGCTCTAGAGAAACTAAGATACAAGAGCCAGAAAAGAACCTCTTCCTCCTCTAGCGCCCCTCCAGTGCCCTCTACAGACAAAGCTTAACTTTGTGCTAGCTGGCAAAGGAGAGGTATTTCTTTTTGCATAGCAGGCAATGGAGAGTGGATTTGGAGTGGAGAGGCAATAAATTGATAACGCGCTTGATAGGAGTACATGTTGTAATCTTTAGGGTAACCACTTAAGGAATAGTAAAATAATGTGTAACCACAAAGGTGATAGAGGGAAAATGAAATAATTTAAAAATATTAATCTGTGAAAGAAGCCAATAAAAGAGGAAAATAACATAGAACAAATGAGACAAATAGAAAGCAAATACCAAGATGGTAGATTATATCAATAATTGCATTAAATGTAAATGGACTTAATGCTCTCAGTAAAAGACAGATTGACAGACTGGATTTCAAAAAAACACTCTTTGCTTGCAAGACATATTTAAAAGATAAGTATTATGAAAGCTTGAAAGAAAAAATGTGGGCAAATATAAACTTATGAAAACACTAATAAAAAGATGGTGTTGCTGTCTTAATGTCAGATAAGGTGGAACACTTAATGATAAAAGTTTAACCATGAAGATATAAAAATCTAAATGTATATACATATAACATAGCCTTAAAATGTATAAAGCAAAGAATGACATAACTAAAAGAAGAAATAGACAAATTCAAATCAAGTGAGATATTTGAAAACCTCTCTATCAGTAAATGATAAACCAATCAGACAAAAAAAAAAACCTTTGTAAATATATGGAAGATTTGAACAATGCTATTTTTTAAAATGACTTAATAAACATATAGAGAAGATTGCCCCTCAAGAACTACAGAACACCCATTCTTTTCAAGAATACAGAGATCTTTTACACAAAATGGTGATATACTAAGCTGTAAGGCAAGTTGCCTCAAATTTCAAAAATTTAAATCATATTCAGTATGTTCTCAGACCACAGAGCAATTAAGATAAAAATCAATAAGAGAATTATAAAATTTCCATGCGTTTTAAAACTAAGAAGTAACTTCTAAATTAGTGGTCCTCAAACTTAAGAGAAATTAAAGAAGATAAATGGAAAGATATATTCATGGACTAGCAAACTCAATATTTTAAATTAAGTCAATTCTCCCCAAATTGATAAATAGAGTCAATGCAATTGCAATCAAAATCCCAACAGGTTTTTTTTTTAAAAAATGGAAAGTCACAGGTTCATTCTAAAATTTATGTGGAAGTATGAAGTTTCAAGACTAAGGTACTCTTGAAGAAAAGGTAGAATACGGTCAACCTCACATTTTCCTGGATCAGTGGTTCTCAGACTTTAGCATGTCAGAATCACCTGAAGACTTGTGGCCCATCCCCAGAGTTTCTAGTTCAGTGGGTCTGGTGTGGGCTCCAAGAGTTTGCATTTTCAACAATTTCCCAGGTAATGTTAATGCTGTTGGCTAGGAGACCACACTTTGAGAACTGGAATTCTAAATAACTCGTAGATCAAAGAAGACATCACAACAGAAACCAGAAAATAATTTGAACCAAATGATAATGAAAATACAATATATCAGAATCTTTGTGACAAACTAAAGTCAGGCTTACTGGGAAATTTATTGCTTTAAATGCATATTGAGAAAAGGCAAAAGGCTGAAAAATCAATGAACTAAGCATTCTTCTCAAGAAGCTAGACAAAAGATGGCAAATTAAACCCATAGAAAGTAAAGGAAGCAAATTAAAAATTTAAAACAAAAAGTAATGAAATACAAAGTGGATATATAATAGAGGATCAACAAAGCCAAAGGTTGATTCTTCAAAACGACTACTAAAATTAATAAACTTCTAGCAGGACTGATCAAAAAAAATAGAGGAGGAACAAAAAGCCAAAGTCAGGAATAAAAGATATACTTTAAAAAGATGATAGAATAAACTTCTTTATGTGAATAATTTTGAAAATGTAGATAAAATAGACAAACTCCTAAAAATACACTCCTAATCAAAACCAATATATGAGGAAAAGGAAATGTCAATAATTGAATATCTATTAAAGTAATTGAATCTGTAATTAAAAACCTTTCCACAGGGGCTGGCCCTGTGGCGTACTGGTTAAGTTCACGCACTCCACGTCAGCAGCCTGAGATTCGCAGATTCAGATCCGGGGCACAGACCTACACACCACTTTCCAATCCATGCTCTTGTGGTGTCCCACATACAGAATGGAGGTAGATTGGCACAGATGTTAGCTCAGCGACAATCTTCCTCAAGGAAAAAAGAGGAAGATTGGCAACAGATGTTAGCTCAAGGCCAATCTTCCTCACCAAAAAGAAAAACAAAACCTCTTAACAGAGTAAACTTCAGTCTCAGATGGCTTTTCCAGTGAAGCTTGCAAAACACTTAAGGAAGACAATTATTTTTAAACTCTTCTGGAAAACACAAGATGAGAGACCATTACCCTAACTTATTTTCCGAAGCCAACATAATCTTGAGACAAGCACAAAGACTTTTTGGGAAACAAGAATTTTAGGCAAATTTCAGAAATGATTATAGATGCAAAAATCTTAAGTAGAACATCAACAAAGAGAATTCAGCAACTTATCAAAAGGATAATTTATCACAACTCAGGTGGGTTTATTCCCAGAGTGCAATGTTAGTTTGTGTGCATATCAATCAATGTATTTCACCACCTTAACTGAATAAAAGATACAAATTATAAGATCATCTCAATTGATGGAGAAAAAGCATTTGGGAAAATGTAATGTCCATTAATGAATCTAGGCAAAAAACAACAACAAACCCAAAACAACTCTTAGTAACTAAAAATAGGAAGACATTTTCTCCAAATCATGAAACAAACAAACAAAAAAACACCACAGCAAATATATTAAAACTTCCCTCTGAGATCGAAGGCATAGCCAGCATGCCAGTTGTCAACACTTCTCTTAAATATTGTACTGGAAGCTCTAGCCAGTGCAATAAGACAAGAAAAATAAACAGAAGGTGTAAGGATTAGAAGGAAGAAATAAAGCTGTCTTTTGTTACAGTCAATAATATTGTGAACATAGAAAATCCAAAATATTCTACAGATTACTCTTTAGAGTTAATAAATGAATTTAGCAAGGTTGCTCAATATAAGGTCAATATACAGGGGGGAAAACTAATATTTGTATACCAGTAATAAACAGAAAGTAAAATTTAAAAAAATACCATTTACAACAGCATCAAAAATAACAAATACCAAGCTGGCGTTAATGGCCTAGTGGTTAAAGTTTGGCATGCTCCGCTTTGGTGGTCTGGGTTCAGTTCCCAGGCACAGAACCACACCACTCATCAGTCAGCAGTCATGCTGTGGTGGTGGCTCACATAGAAGAACTAGAAGGACTTACAACTAGAATATACGGCCATGTACTGGGCCTTTGGTAAGGAAAAAAGAAGAGAAAAAGATTGGCAACAGATTTTAGCTCAGGGCAAATCTTTCCCAGCCAAAAAAAGAATTTCCCGTTAAAAAAAGAAAAACATAAAAAACAAATACCTAGGAATAAATCTAACAAAAGATGCTCTTCTTTATCCAAATTTTCAAGGCTGTTGCACATGTCTTCAGAAATTTAAGATCAGTTTATCATGCTCCAACTTGTTTTTGAAAAAATTGTACCAGAAAAATTGTTAGCATCTTTATTTCCGCATCTGGATGAACCTATATCAAGGATCTGAGAAATGGTGATGGAAATGGTGAAGCTGGGTCTAATGGAGGTGGGGGTGCAGAAGGAAGGACACCGATGGACACTGTGTGGAGACATCCCAACGTGAAGACTTCATAGTTGAAATGCTCAAGGAATTTTGAAGGACCGTGAAGTAACTAAAATTATTTTCTTTGATGACCCAGCTACTCCAGTCTGAATACCCCAACTGGCCTCTTTGCTTACTGCCAAGTGATAAGTAGTTTACCCAAGGAAAGGAAAACAACGTTTAATATTCCCAGACTGCGCTTTCTCCTTTTTTATTTTTTATGTCTAAAT